TCCCACTACCAACATGGACGGAGGGCGTGCACGCGCTCGGAGCGCGCGGAAGGTTCTCAAGGATCAAGCAATAACAAACGGAAACTCGACTTGGGTTAAAAGAGCGCCGACACAATAAATATAGAAATGATTCAATCATTTTATTTGAGGTGTTTTTAACGAGCAGAAAGGATGCGCTGCAATATGGAGTAGTTTTTATTATTTTTATAAAACTTTATTTATAAAACAAACCAATAATGTACAAAGACTCATTGAGGAACAAACATTAAAACATGGGTAGAGAAACAAAAATAGAATATGGGTCTAAAAGCAAGAACAGATAAAACATAAAACAAAAGAAAAGTAGAATTAGTGGGAATTACTTTTTTGGCAGAAACAGATTTCAAATGTTTCACTGAGGTTTAACACAATTTAAATTAATTAAGAAGAAAATTCAAAACAAGGAGTGGAACCTCACCATTTACAGCAATGTATGTATATGATATTTGACAAACAAGAAGACAATATTAATCATATCTGACATTTTACTATCAAGATCATCATCATAATACAACAGCTGGGTGATTGTTATTTCTGGGATGTCGGCAATTTTAAGGGACAACCTATTTCTAATGTCTCTCCATAGTTTAAAAGAATAGAGACAGGAAAAAAAGATGATTAATGGATTCATCCGGACATTCACAAAAGGCACAGCATGTTAAATCACATTTAAATCTTTTGTGCAAAAATTCTGCCACTTAATTACTATTATAGTAATTATTAAATAATTTAGATTTAAAGGCAATCACAACAGTGGTATTATTAAATTATTTATCAGTCACAAAATATTCTCCAATTTTCTATTTGGGTAAATATGGAGTAACATTTGAATATTTTAAGGTGTTTAAATGAGATGGATCAGAGCTACAGGAATAACTTTACATACTTTTAGGTATTCATTACAAGTACAGAACAGATTAAATTTGTTAGTAAAATCTCTATGATTTAGGAAAACACAGTGACTGTCCATTAAGTCAGTTACAAATAAAATACCTTTTTCATACCAGTCAGTTTTAAAAATAGATTTTCTATTTATTAATATTGCTCTGTTATTCCACACTAGGGATCCATGAGGGGTGAAGTTAGGAGTAAATATCATCTTCCAAAATTGTAACTTGTTTATGAAAATTAGACAGTGAAATGTTAATCTTGTCCTTAATTCAAAATCAGATTTAAGCAAGAAAATCCAGCCACCAAGTGTATTAAATATAGATTAAGGAGATATGAAACCACATTGAATTGGAACGAGACAAAAAGGTCTTTAGTCAATTTATCCTAAATGAACCAATCAGAGCCTCAGCATCTAAGGCTCTAATACCACCCTTATCATAATCGTTAACAAGATGTGATCGACGTAGAGAGTAAGTTTTATTCTCCAAATAAATTGAAAGATTAATGAATTGGCTTTCCTAATATTTTTGTCAGAAATAAAAGCAGAATGGCATGGATAACTAATTTAGATAATCCTTCAGCTTTGGACAAAGGAGTTGCACTTTAAAATAGATTTAAGCGCAATGTCTACCATAGTTTTATCACTTAGAAAAAATTTTCTGTCCAAAGCAAATTGACTTATTTTGAATTCCCTATAAAAAAAATTTAAAACCATGTAAATTGGAATTTTTCATAATTAGTAATGTATGGAGGAGTAGTTTTTGACTTTGGTCAAGTTAGAAAGATATTCCCAGATGTTCAGAGAGATGTTCAGAGAGATTCCCAGATATTCCCAGATGTTCAGAGAGAT